TGGGATGTATTTTACGAGACTGGTTACTTGTAAGTTAGTTACAGCCAAGATTGGCTTTCTTACAGTGGCAGAACAACATCGTTGCCGAACATGTAGTCATCCTTTATTAACCGTAAGATTCAGCGACGTTTCATTCTTAAAGGAAATGTGCATTGTGTGTTTAACATATGAAATATATAAACTTTTGGCCTTTGAATTAGCTTCATATTGATGAAAAGATTGTGTAATATGATTCCACATAATCTAACTAGTTTAAAAGTTAATTTGTATTATCCCATATTGAGCTGTTCTTAGGAATTTCGTAGTGCAACACTGTGGAACAATGATGGTTTAAATGTTATTTGCTCTTTATTTAACATTTTTAACATTATTTTTTCTATCTTATTTTCCTTTTTTCTACTTATATTTTGCAAGAATCTATGTTACTCCATACGATTTTCCTGATTTTACAGTTTTGTGTAGGCTGTTTGAACTGCACATACAAATCTTGTTTCTCTGTATTACCTATACTTTTAAGAAAATAATAAAATGAAAAAAGAAGTCGCCATAAATTATTTTGTAATCCGGTCAGGTCTACTATCAACTCAGGAAGGCCCAAAGAAGTTGGCCCTGAAGAGAAAGGAATATAATGAGTTTCAGTAACCACTAGGGGGCTTAATGGGACAAAATTTTGGTGCAGCTTGCAAATCTCCAAAAGGGAAATGAGGCAAAAGGATTTGTGTGCCATTTTTCTTGTAACAATAGAAAAGACCCAATGTCAAAGTGACTAATGTTTCTTAGTATCCTACTTAGGAAGGAATGCTAATTCCAAATAGGTTTCAAATTTAAAAAAAAAAATACTTGCTGCTATAACAAATTGCTTTTTAACTTCTTTCACATAATATTCTTTTTACATTTGTCCAATATATTTGTGTATTTTTTAATCCTGTCATTGAACTATTCTGCTAGGTTTTTTTTTTTAAAAAAAATTAAAACCTAATCCAGTGATGGCGAACCTTTTAGAGACCGAGTGCCCAAACTGCAGCCCAAAACCCACTTACGCATCGTCGGGTGCCGGGTGGGTGTGGCCCATTGGGTGGGCATGGCTGTGGTGGTAACGGCAGAGTGGGTGAGACTAAAAAGTTCAATCCATCAATTCCAACTTTGCAAGATTTTTTTTCCCCCATGAGAAGTTGAAATTGACTGAACCTTTTTTTTTTGTACACAGCGGCTGAGACCTAAAGTGAAAACACAGCTGAAGGCCTAGGACTGGGGCGACAGTGCGCGTGCCCACAGAGAGGGCTCTGAGTGCCACCTCTGGCACCCCTGCCATAGGTTCGCCACCACTGACCTAATCGGTCTGTGAAATGGACATGCTATGCCATTGCTTCTTTGCCTTTTCATTAAGATCAAGTGACACGAAATGAAGTGTATGAAATTCTATTATCAGTTTCTTGGAGAATCTGTAAACAACAAGGCTATTTTACATATATAACCAAGTCAAATTTTCCTCAGTGACATGCAGAGTGGAAATGAACTGATGCAGCCCAATTTGTACGCTCTATGAACAGTTTTGCCACATGAATCCTGTGTGTGTGTGTGTGTGTGTGTGTGTGTGTGTGTGTGTGTGTGTATAAACTGGCCAAAGACAATGTCCTGTGCATTGAACCTGTACATTTGGTTTTCTCTGCTGTGTTAGACTTGGATCTATATAATGCTTGACTAGTGCTCATTAATAGCAAGAAGGAGTGTAGTTCTGGTGAGATATGCTACCAATACGGTGGGAACACGTGGAGAAACGGCAGTGTGTGAGTGCTAGGCACTATACCAGTCTTTCCAAACTTGATGCCTTCCAGAGGAGTCATGACTGTAACACCCAGGCTACAATGCTAGGATTTATAGTCCCAACACAACTGGAGGGCATCAGGCTGGGAAAACTGAACAATGACAGTCATGTCTAAACACATCTGCATGCTCTCATTTCTCCTGCTTGCACAACAATTAAAGATTTGCAGCTGTGGACTGCAAGTGAATTCCCATATTCAGATTAACATCAAAGCCATGCCGCAGTTACATATTTAAGTCAATACAGTGAGTCGTAGGCAGAGACTTGGAGTTGAATCAGGAAGCCCCGGTCCAAATCTCAGTTCAGCTCTGAATTTGGTGGCCTTGGACCAAACGTTTTCTTTCGGCTAAGCTACCTCAACATACTGTTTTAAACATATGAGATAATCCTCTGTAGGTCACTTGAAGTTCCTTAGAGAACATATGAAAAACTAATAAATAACAGTATAGGTTTTCAGGCCTGTACTGTGGGGGGGGGGGTTTAACTCCTAATCACTGCGACACTGCCAGTTACATGTTCTATTTCCCTTTGTTTTCTTTCGAAGTAGAAATTGTTCAAATGGCTCTTACAATAAGAGTTTATGAATTGCAGAGATAGTGAACAATGAATGCCAATCAAGGGTTCATCTTTTTTGAGGGGGGGAGGATGCACTGTTCTCTATGAATCCATTAAGGGCCACAACAGGGGCAGAGAGAATGGGTGGAGAACATATAAACCCTGCCTTTTCTCCAATCTGTTTTGCTCCGATTGTTATTCGTGGTGATTAATCAAATTATTTGAATCTCTCTACACACAGCAATTCTGTTTGGGCGAGTAAAAATGGAAAGCAGGGGTTGCTTTCCAAATCATGGGAAGGGCCTGTAGAGATATTGACATCCAAGGGCAACAACGAGCCCAAAACGAATCAAGCTCTCACTTTTGTGTGTTTGGTACAGCTGCATCCAAGTGCAGGGGAGCTGTTTTTCTGGTGTCACAGGCCAATGGGAAAGGACAACAGCTTAAGACTAATTGCTGCAGGGGCTATTTTCAGAGGCCCAAATGAGTCTTTAGCTTGATTCTGCAAAGTGCTTTGCTGGTTTTCATGCTTCATCAGGCTCAAGCTATCAGAGGCGTCTAAATTCCATTAGAAGTCAGCACTAAATAGGCACTGAAGTGTCATGTTTACTTTTGAAAATCTGTCCCTTAATCTTCTTCTGGGGTCGAAAGCAAAAAGAGGAATGCTTTTAGTGAATAGAAGAATGGGAAGTGCTCTATCCCACACATCTTAAATTTAGGTTGGTTGTAAACTAATAGATAAAAAGCCATTTGGATGCAGTGTGCAGGATCCTTCGCTTTCCGGAAATTGTTGCTGAAAAAGAACTAGAACTACGCAATATCACTGCTTTAACAACTTCTTCCTTAAATCTAACTTTGCGATGGAGGATGGGAAGTAAAATCACGCAGTGATTTTAATATATGGTAAATCATACGATAGTCCACTTTCTACACCAGGGGTGTCAAACTCAATTTCATTGAGGGCTGCATCAGCATTGCGGTTGCACTCGGGGGGCCGGGTGGGTGCGGCCTCCTGGGTGGGCGTGGATGGAGTGAGTGTGGCCTCCTAGATGGGCATGGCCAGCTCTACATAGTTTGCGTCAAGGGTGCCTGTGGGGGCCTGGGCAGGAGTGGGACAGATCTGAGGGTCTCTGGCAGAAAGGGGTGGGACCAGGGCAAGCATCAAGGCATGATCCATTTCTTCATTCCTCACAAAGGGTGATAACTCCCCAGCATGCACCCAGGGGCAGGGCCGATGTGGCAGGGGCTGGTTCCTCACTGTTTCTAGACGGGTTTGTGGAGCTAAGACTGAATGCGTTTCAGCATAGATGGCCACCACAAAATTGTACATTGGATCCCGGCTGGCCAGGGCCAGGGCCAAGGCAGCGGGGGCTGTTCCCTCACTGTTTCCAGGATGGCTTTGTGGGCCACATGAAACCACTTCGCAGGCCGCATCCAGCCCCCGGGCCTTGGGTTTGACATGTCTGTTTGACATGTCTGTTAATTTGGTAGTAAAGAGATCCTCTCTGAAATACAGGTTGAAAGCATTCATGACTATAGCTAAGGTTGCTTGGACAGTCAAGCGGTGACCAGACTTCTCCATCTGATTCCTTCCAAAGATGCTTGCACTACAGGTCCCATCATTCCCACCCATGTTGCCAGTAGGTGATGCCACCTGTTGATCAACAGAGCTGAAAAGCAATAGGGAAAGTCTACCAGAAAAGGATTTTCTGTTTCTTTACCCCATATCTTTATAACAGATGGTTAGTTTTAAACTACACAAGTCACAACTTACTGTTGTAATGCAAGACGGCTTTAATAGAGAGAGTAATAACACTTATAGACCACATCAAGTTAGTTTAAATCTGGTTATTAAATAATCTGCTCTATTAGTTTCCCTTGAAAGGAAAGTATTTTCTCCTCACATAACCCTGAGAGTGAGGCTGAAACATTGTGACTCACCAATGGCCAGTCCAGCAGGTGGCAGCACCTGGCCGACCTTGGTTCTTACCAAAAAAAAAAAAAAGAAGAAAGAAAGAAAGAAAGAAAGAAAGAAAGAAAGAAAGAAAGAAGAAAAGAAGGTAAAGTCAGGCCTGGTTGGAAAAGAGCAGGAAACCTTTGAGAAAACATCAAAACATTTTGATCAAAAAATCAAAATATCTAAAGGCTGCATTGGGAAGATAAAAAAACATCCTGGTAGAAAGCAATACTGCTCTTTGTACAGGATGATCAAGATCATTGAGTTCAATGGCTTAAAGGGCATCTATTAGAAATGCGAATTTGAGAGTCGTGGGTTATATGGTGCTTTTATGAAGTATGATGGGGTGGGGTTCCCACTATTCTTCCCTGCTTCTGTCTCTCTTTGCATTCATGTATGGATGCATGTCCTTCCTTCAACAGTTTCACACAATCTTAAGAACCTGAGCAGGGAATTTTAATCCATCTAGAAATCTGAGCTCTTAAGCTGAAGCGCTGTCTCAACTATGGCCCACTAACAATGCAATGCTTACTCCCTTTTCGCCCCATTCCCTCTTCTCAATGTTTTTATCTCTTTGTCATGCTAGGAATATGTCAGGGAAAGCGGGGGGGGGGGGGGAGAGGGGGGGATGCTGCAGCAAAAAGCAGGGAACTGGTTCGGGGGTGAAATGAACCTGAAGGGGCCAGTCTGTTTCTGAACAATTAGAAGAATTAGTCCTGATTGTCCAGCTTTGCCCTGGGTTCAGGCCTTGTGATGGCATCAGAACTGTAGCAAACTGACAGGAATATGGAGTAGAGGCATTTGTTGGGAGTACCAGGCATGTCAGAAGCAAAGTGGAGGGCTGAGTAGGTTTTGACAGGCCAAATAAAGCAAAGCAAAAGCTAGCCCAATTTTTAAGTGGCAAACTGACTAAGTAACTTGTATGGGATTGGTGAGGAAAGCAAAAGTATTGGTTAGATTTATAAAGCTGTCCTGAGGGCTTCAGCTCCAACTTGATAGCTGTGCTCATACAGTACTCATGTTCCTGGGTAACTATGATTCACAGAATGACACCAATTTTCCAGGATCATAAAACAATAAAATGTGTACTAACTGCACTGGCTGGGTTTGCATAACACACAAAGCTGAAATGTGGTTGGCTTTGCTTCTAGTGCTTCTTTCTTTTTCTTTCTTTCTTTCTTTCTTTCTTTCTTTCTTTCTTTCTTTCTTTCTTTCTTCCCTCTTTCCTTCCTTCCTTTCTTTTTTATAGTGGCGAATGATAACCTGTTTTGGATGGACAGGGTAGTTTAAACTCTTTTAAGATTTATAGAACAGAGCAATTTTCTCCAGCTTAGTGCCATCCTGTTAACAAGGGGCTACCTAAGGGATTACAATTCCCTTAGTTTTCCAGCAATGTGGGGGGAGGGAGACTGGGAAGGATGGGGAGTTGCAATCACACAACTCATCAAACCCGGCAAACACAATCTCGTCCACTGTTGTGTGTCCCACTTTAAGCTGGGATTTCTCCAATCTCGGGGAAGGATTTTTGCCTTCGAAATCTTGGCCAGAGAAGCACGAACGAGACATAAAAGTCCGATTCTCTTTACTTCCAAAGTAAATCCCACCGAATTGCACGGGACAATCACAGACTGCTTGTAACATTTCGACTTCTGCGTAGGGACGGGAGAATCGAAGCTGCCTTTAGAACAGCCGCGGTGTTCCGGCGAGGCGAGCTCGGAGGTGGAAGAGGCTGAACGTAACGATTCCCCTCTTACCGCAACAGCGTCTCCTTCGCTGCCGGCTCCAAGTCGGCCGAAAGTTTTTTTTTTTTTTTTTTTTTTTTTTACGAAAGGCGCTGGAACTTCCTACTCATCCGCCAAGCGGAGGCGGCGATTCGGCGCCGTGTGCGTTTGCGCCCATGACGCTTCGCGGGAGCGAGGCTGGCTTGAGCTCGAAAGCCCGAACAGTTCGAATTCGAAGTCCGCGCGCCCCGTCGGCGAAGCGCTCGCGTGCGGACAGGCGGGCCGGCGGAAGCCTGGAACGCGCGCGGGCGTCTCCTTCAGGGTTGCCTGCCGCTCGCTCAGCTCGTTGCCTTCGCCTTTAAGCCAAGCCGGTTAAAAGAGCCTTGGCGAACCAATGCTGGCGGAGCGCGTGAACGCCGCCCCAATAAAACGCGATAATATTTTGTTTTAAAAGGACGCTTGGGCGGTAAAACCACAGAAGCCAGGGGAGGGGAGGGACGGCGGGACCGCGAGAAACAAGGAGAAAAAAGCAACACCACCACAAAATCTTCCTTACGGGGTGCCGAAGTTTGCTTACTCCGCCTGCGACACGCTTTTGAGTTCCCCACACTTTCGCTGGCCTGCGCCGCGGCTTCCTCCTCCTCCTCTCCCTTTTCCCTCCTGGCTCGCTCTTGCTCTCTCTCTTTCGCTGGCTCCCTTCCTACTTCTCTCTCCACCCCCTCCCCTTTCTCGCCCTTTCCCTCCAGAGGCGCCTGGACGCCTTGGGCTGATAAGGAAGACAAGAAGCGGCGGCGGCAACCGAGGAGCGTGCGTTGTTGCAGCCGCCGCGCTAGAGAGGGTGGGGGAGAACCGGCCCGGGAGGGGCGCGGTTGGTGGAGCTGCAAAGAGCGAGCGAGCGCCACAAACCCAGTTCCAAGAGCGCAACTCCCAGTTAATAAAAAGTTCCCGGCGGGGTCTGCTTGAGGCGGTTCCCCCCTCTCCCCGCTTCTCCCGGTTTGGTTTTGTTGTGTTTTTGACAGCTGGGCGCAGGCGACTTCTCGTTGGCTTTTTCGGCTTTGCCCAAGGGGGGAAAAGTTTCCCATTCCTACTTCCCCACCTCCTCGCTTTCCTTTTCCCAGGACCAATAACGAGCAGCTCTGAGGTACAGTAGCGGTGGGAGGAGGTTAAAAAAAAAAGAGAGCGAGAGAGACGGGGGGGGGGGAAGGGGAAAGCTCCGTGTTCTTTCAGTTTGGGACGACCTAGTCCCCCCCCTCCTTTCGCCCAACCTGTGGCAGGACTAAGATTCAAATTTCTCGCTTCTTGACCTCGAGGCGCTTTTTCTCACCTATCGCATCTCCCTCGCCACCCCAACCTCCACCAAGCCCCCCCCCCCGTCGCTGAAACTTTTGGGATGCGAAGGCCTTGGAGTCTTCGCATGCGTGTCTGTGTGTGTGTGTGTGTGTGTGTGTGCGTGAAAATCACCTGGAGGGCTGTTGAGAGAGCCGGTTTGGAGTGAAGGGGGGGGGGAGGACAGTCCCAAGAAAAGCTGAAGGAAGGAAGAAAGGGAAGGGCCGGTGCAGGCGCTGCCGCTGAGAGGAGTTCCAGAGCCCAGGGGGTGCCCTTGACAAGCAGCATGCAAAAATGGTAAGAAGTTTTCCAACATCCTTTCTTTATTTCCTTTTTTTAAAAAGAAACCTAACTCTCTCTCCCTCTCTCTCTCTCTCTCGTTCTTTTTTTTTTTCTTTCTCCCCAAATGTGCCGTAATGCAAACAGCCTTTGCCTGGAAGCGTGTTTCTAAAACCGTTGAAACAAACAAGCAGTCGGCAAAAAAATTCCTGTGGTGCAAAGACCTGCGGAGGGGGGGGGGGGAGAGACGGGCGGCTGGAGAATCGAGCATGCGGGCGGCGGGAGGGGGAGAATACAGGACAGTGACATAACTTAAAACTTCGCCTAGCGCTTCTCGTCCCGCTCCTCCCTCTTCCTCCTCCTCCTCCTCTCTGGTTGGAAAGGAAGGAATTAGATGGGAACTCGATTTCTTTCTCTTTGACTCCTTTATTTTTGTTAATCGCATCCAAGGTGAAAGAAGATCAGTGAAGAAGTGCGCGGGCGGGGCAGGGTTTTTTTTTTTTTTTAACCTAAGACATATGGGATCGCGTTAGGGAAAGGTGGGAATGAAAGAAAGCGATCCCTTTTTCTGTGTAGATGACAGACGCGGTCTTGGTAGCAAACCGGCGAGCTAACACGGAACCGAGGATGGGAATGGGGGGGGGGCAAAGGAAAGGAGATGGGGATGTGTATCTGCGGGCGCGCGCGTGCCTGTGTGTGTGTCTGTGTGTGTTTGCGCGCGCGCTGGTGTGTCTGCGATCCACAACGCCTCAGGCTCCAAGACCAGAAGGCAAAAAGGATGCCGTCCGGTCGCAACTTTTTTGGGGAGGCCATGTGCTTTTACAAAGTTTGCATTTCTGCGGACAGCAATTGTTAAGGAAAACTTGAGCGGAGTTCTAGGAAGAATGTTTTTTTTTTTTTTTTTTTTTTTAGAAGTCTGCCTTGTCTGCCTGAGTGTGTTGTCATTCTCAGCATTGCTGGAAAGTAAGCTCTGCTGGGATTAAGAAGCGCGTGTGAATCGCACATGGGGTTGAGGAAGGTGTATATGTAAACGGGGAAACGTCAGATCTCTATTAAGCGGTTGCAAAATGGCTGATTTAATGTTTTAATTCTTACCTCTTTTTTTATTATTTCGGAAAATTTTATGGGAGTTCACATAAATCGGACAGCCGGTGTTGAAACTCTTTTTGCCTGCGTTTTGTGTAACTTGACTTTATCTAACAACTGACCTCATTTAAAGGCATGGAAAGAAATGTTTTTACGCTTACAGTTTTTAAAAAATCCAATAGCTCAGCTGATCGGGAAGCAGTTTTTAAAAATAATCTTTAGCACAGGAATCAAAGTGGATAGATTCCTCCAGGACCGCTGCCTTGTATTTTAAGCATGTTGTAAGTCTTGAGTGCTTTGCTGTGTGGCTGTCCCACTTTGGGGCGGGATGCTCTAGTTCTCAGTATGTAACTAGAATGTATGTAGTGAAAATAATCTTCTCCCCACTTCTATCTAGTGATGTTTTGTTCCCCTGCATTAAAGCTCCTATTGGAAGATAGGAAATTTGTCAAAAGCAGGAAAAGAGGGCACATACCATGGGTAAAGAAAGTGTCATATGCTCAGACTAATATTGCAATAAAACTGGCAGAAAAGTGGTTTTGAAAGCAGGCTGCAGTTTATGATGCTTCCCATTTCCTCTAGAGTCAAACTGGTAAATTGACGCACAAAGGACATCATGTAATAATCTAAGCAGACTCAAGGATTAAAATGCCTTAAATCTGGATGAATATTCATGTCTCACTAGTAGTGGAAACAGCTTGAAGCTTTAAAGTCAGATGAAAACACTACAGACCCTGTCTTAAATCTTGCATATGTTTCTCTTATGTGGCAAACAAAACTTTAGAGAAAGAATGGGTTTGCAATTTTTTTTTGTATGATGAGTGCTTTTTAAGTCTTTTGCTGTACATATTATTTCATTATGGTCAGGAATTGTTACTAACATGATTTTTTTCACATTTAAAAATGTGAAAGAAAGTTTAATGTTTGTTTACTCAATATTTAATTAGCAAACTTATAAGTTGTAAGTCTATAATAAAGTAATATATATGTAGTTGAATAATATCTACACTAGATAAGTCTATGTAGAATTGTAACTGTTAACTGTTATAATAACTTTGCTCTTTCTTTCAACATGCTAGAAACTTTAGTTTCAAATGTAAGTAAGAGCTTCTGCACGATATTATAGTTTCTTTTAAAAATTCTCTTGAGCATTCAGGTCTAACTATGTATGAGTATAGTAGCTACATACAAAAGTTTTTCAGTTTTATGAAGTTTCCAGTTCAAATGATTAAAAAAAAATACTTTACCAGCTGCTTGTTACAAGGAATTCATTTCAACAGGTCTGCATACACACTGTGAATGAGCATTTAGTATTAATACACCACAAGCTAAGCTTCTTTAATACATTTTTACACTCACTTGAAATGCGATAAAAATCTCTTTCAAATATTTTAGAAACAGTTACTTTAAACATTACCATTTATAAGACATGTAGTATGAACATATGTATTTCTCTTTCAAATATTATAGAACCTGTTCTGAGTGTATATTTGATAGCTTGGCAAGCCCGTTGTAAGAAGCCAAACTAGATGAAAGCAGACCTTATTCTTGCTAACCGAATGATTAAACGGTAAACCTTTGAGGTTCAATTTTTTTTAATTCACCACTTTTACATAATATTTTATTCTAATCTTGCTTGCTGTCCGGGATGTTTCAGGAATTCTGAAATTGCTGCAGTTCAAGAATGCCAGTTTGTGTTTCATGAGTGTCATTTGATTACTTTTATCTGTACAGCTCCAAGACTGGCCCAGATCTTTCTCTGCCTCTTGCCAGATCTCCAATCACTGCTGAATTGTCTTTTTTATTTTTATCTCCTTTCCCCTCCAGAAATCTGGCTGACTTTGGCCAAGCAAAAAAAGATAAGAAAGGTGTGTGGGAGGAGGTCATGTTTTAGCTATGTCCCCTCCCCACGAAAGTTTCCAGCAGTGAAATAGGATTCACTTGGCTCTGAGAGTGTTAGTACAGCAGTGAGGGGCTATGTAGTTCAATGAACTCATGAACAGGTATTAACTGATAAGCCAAGCTATTGGGTCAATGTTTATGAACAGTAAGTTTGTCCTACTGTAACTTGGTGCTGCCTCCATAGTATCTTATTTGAACTTTTCGATCTACCTTACTTCCCTCCCTCCCTACTTAACTTCCTCTTTCGTATTTATCCATATGCCCCAGTAGTTAACAGTGAAACTTAAACAGTGGTCAAAGAAACTATTCACCCAGGAACTGCACTGTCCTCAAGCATCTTTCCAAAAGGGAATTAAGACAGGGTGCTCTTGTATTGTCTCATAGTGTTTAATGGTTTGTTTTAAGGCTCTCTCTCATGGACTTAAATGTTTGCTGTCATTTTATATATAAAAATTCTAAAGACACTGTTTCTCTAGAACGTCCCTTAGAGCTGCTCAGAGACAATGAGGGAAAACCCAGTTTAGCAATGGACAGTAAAGACTTCCTTTGGTATTTCACAGCTGGACTTGTTGCTTGTTAGAAATGATTTGCTGATCTATAATGAGCTTTTTACAGTTCTAGTAAGACATGCTAAAATATCAATTGTGCATGCCAGTTACATTATTTATAGCTTGCTAAATAATTGTAATTCCATTGTATCCAGAACTTGAATGCATAAGAGATTCATCAAGAAAAACAGTCATTGGAGATATTCTGGGTGAATACTATTTTTGTGAGATAAGTGAGAAAAATACTATTGGCATTTCTAACTTTCTGTTAAAAAGGAAAGCAAAATTCTCTTCGTAGGCCTCTGAATCAAACAACTCTTAATGTGTTTATATACTCATTGTTTATATGACAATCCTGTTCTAGGTATGTGTGTCTTGTTTTTGCTACCAGATGTAAGTATTGCCAAGTTAAGTATATCAGTTTTTGAAGAGTATATATACTATTTCCTTTCAATATATAGAAGAATGCAATCCAAGGCGTCATACTAGATTGTTTCTGAGCCAAGTATCAATTGAAAGTGTTTTAATGAACTTTTTTTTAAAGCACAATAATATTTACTTTTTTTTTAAGTTACAGCAGATGTTTCCATTTATCACCCACATCTCTTCAAACTTTGGCTCTGGAAAATTGCTGAGTGAAAATGAACACTGACATATAGGGAAAAATATCCTCATCATTGACTCCATTTCTCTCTCTGTTACATAAAATATCCGTACATATGTGAAAGTTGATGTGCTGATAGTCTTTTCAGTGGATTAGAAGAAACATTTTTTTTGAAAAAAATTATGAGCTATAATGCTGCTACTTAGTAATTAGTGTTTTAATTTTTCTGGGTGATGATATAATTATTTGAAGCTTTTGTTGCATTCACAAAATGTTTTGACTCTAACAAGACAATTCTTATTTTTAAAAGTGGATTTTTTTTTCTTACCTTCCAGGGATAATTCTTTTCATTTATAGTCTGCAAAGTACATATCTTTGTAATGTAACTTTCCTGATTTGATGTGATTTTTTAAAATTTTTTTTGTGGCAATGAGTTATAATCCGCTTATGATAATCAAGGTAATTATTATTATTTTCTTAAGAAGCTACCTTGTTGGTGTTCTTGTCCGATAGAGAAGGTCTGGGGCATATAATAGGAATTCTGATCCAAAGCATCAGATCTGATCCAACGGATTGAGGAAGGCTGAGGTGAACTATAGATATACTGTACAATCCATCTATACCAGCGGTTCTCAACCTATGGGTCGCGACGCCATTTGGGGTCAAATGACCATTTTACGGGGGTCACCAAACAACGTGATCCACCATTTTCCTCCCTTGGGGCGGTGCCGCGTACGCACGCCGCGCATGGGGGCGCCGCCGCGCACGCGCGCCACGCATGGGTGCGTCCGTGTGAGGGGGGTCGCCGTCACACAAAGGTTGAGAACCGCTGATCTATACCCATTGGTGAAACTATTACTTAGTTCATGGAACATTCT